GTACTCACTGCTGACAGGCATACTCACTGCTGACAGGCATGATGAAAGAGCGACTCCTACGACTGGTCCGTGGCGTTCTGTGCTCGCTAAGGACTTGCAACCAAAGACACGTCAAAGAGCCCTAGCTTTGATTGGGCCTTCCACCGTGTTCAGTTCGACGTGTCCACGACCATTTCGAGAGTATGAACGTGCAGCCAAGATGGTGTATTCAGACGATCCGAGGATAGCTGCAATAGTGACCGCCCTTTATCACCTCCGCATTCGTATCCACATGGCAGCTGCAAGAGGATACGTCCTTTGATGATCTGAAGGCCAAACTTGAAATGTTTCTGAAGGCCAAACTTGAAATGTTTGAACAGGTCTCCATGAAGTGGCTTCCTGAGACAGGTACCCAGCTCGCCATCAAGCCTGGGGGATTGGACCAAGGTGGACCTATGGACGTTGATGTCAAAGAACGGAGGGAAGAAAGGTGAGGGCAAGAGAGGAAAGAAGGGAAAGACGACCTCCTGGTCCAACGATGGTGGAAAGAAAGGAAACGGAGGAAAGACCAGTGGTGGCAAAGCTGCTGGGAAGAACGGAAAGGGGGCAGGGAATTCTGCCTGCCACAATTGTGGCAAGGTCGGTCATTGTACACAGGACTGGTGGGCGACCGTGAGAAAGTACATTGACGGCCACGCGGCAGGTACGGAGGGTACGACTTGTCACACTGACAGGGCTTTCAACCGTGGACATCTTCGGCCTGATGGAAGCAGATGAAGAGGACTATGACTATAAGGAGTGTGATGATGGCTTCAATGAGGTCATCGCAATTTGAGAGATTGAGAATGACGGTGAGGACGAGTTCTTCGATTGCGGAGCCTAATGAGGAGGCAGAGGAGAGCAGCCATGGAAAGACAGGAAGACGAACCTTTGACGTGACTCATGGCATGAAGCCTCCAAAGAGAAGAAAGAAGAACAGATGGAGAAGAATGTATGCACGGTGAATCACCAAGAGCCATTGGATTCAGGTGCAGACGTTGCAGAGCCGGCGCCCAACGAGCTCTTCACATGGTGGACGCCCAAGGTGAAAGAATTCAATCAGCCGGTAACCGGCGCCTGTTCCCACTGCCCGTGATGGAAGCAGTGTGGAGTTTGTCGAATAGTTTGCAAGGTGTGACACATCCGCTTGTGCCCTTTGGTGTACGCCCTCACAAGTCACAAGATCAAGATGACTTGTTTTTGGACCACGAAGTCAGAAGCTTGCAGGTCCCGGCGGGGCTTGAGAGGAACTTGTTGGTGATGGATGTGAAGGTGTGCAACAGAAGGAAAGGTCAATGAAGAGAAAGAAGGAAGGGCCCAATACGAAGAGAAGAGACACAGAAGAGAGTAAGGAAGGGAAGAGGAATGTGAAGATGGCCGCAAAGAGTAAACATCAGAGCTCACAGGTTCCAGCCAAAGTAAAGAACGAGGAGAATGAAGGATAAAGAATGGAGGAGCAAGAAGACGAGAGGACACCAGGCTACACGCCAGAACAGTCAATGCCTGGCGGTGCGCGATGATGAAGGCAGTGATGAAAGAGTGAAGAAAAGGATGCAAAGATGGCAGAAGAAGTTGAACCCCGTCAAGGACGAGATTGTCAAGCCCAGTCCAGAAGGAGGGGAGTAACCACAGGAGAAATCAGTATACAAAACAGTACCAAAGTCCCAGTGATGCTTTTTGGAGAAGAATGGACTGCGCGAATGATGTTGCTGAAAGACAGTGCAAGCAAGTGGGAGAAGCAGAGTCATTGGTCAACTGCAGAGAGAGCTCAACTCCATTTCAGGCATTTCCAAAAGGACAACGAGAAGCTCTGACGTTCATTGCCACCAGCTGGATTCGTGACTACTTTGGTCCAGATTGTGAAGAACCACTGAGTCAATATCCACAACTGACAGAGAAGGTGGTGAGATCCCAGTGAATGGCATCCCATCACCATTGCCATTGGGATTAGCGTTGCCACAGGTCAAGGGTGTCACCATTACCATCCACAGGGTGAATGGCATTACCATCACCATTGTCATTCGCAGAACCAGTACCATTAGCATTGCCATCACCACAGATCATGTGACAGGGTGAATGGAATTACCATCGCCATTGCCATTAGCAGCATCATCACCAGTTGCACTACCAGTGGTACAGGTCAAGGGTAAATGGCATCAAGCTACCACAGGTCAAGAGTGAATCGTTGTAACTTGGCTTGCTGTATTGGCTATTGTGATCACCCCCTCACCAATCTGGGCCTCAATCTCTTCTGAATCTCGAAAGATGACCTCTTCACTGACATCCGGCGCTGCTGTAACTTGTCGGAGCTTTCCGCTGTGACCTGTGGGAGCTTGATACCATAAACTTGGCTTGATGCCATTTGTTCTTGATTTGTGGCATTGGGAATCGCAATGGCGACGCCAATTCTCATGGTAACGCTAATGGCACTAGTAATGGTCATTTACCCTTGATCTGTGGTGGCGCTAGTGGCAATGGTAATGGAGTGCCATTGCTATGCGCCCTGTGACCTGCCAGAGCTTGATGCCATTCACCCTTTTCTGACCTGTGGCAATGGCAGTGCGAATGGTGACGGTAATGTTAATGGCAATGGTGATGCCGCGATGCCATTCACCCTGTGAGCTGTGGGAGATTGGTGCCATTTGCCCTGTGGCCTGTGCAAAGTTGCCATGCATGCATGGCGATGGTAATGCCAATGGCAATGGTAATGCTAAGAGCAATGGTGATGGTAATGCCATTCACCCTTTGGCCTTTTGAAGCTTGATGCTGCTCACCCTTCGTAATGCTTATGGCAATGGTTCTGCTAACGGCGAAGGTAACGCTAATGATTGGTAATGTCGTTCACCCTGCACCATGCTAATGGGAACGGTAATGCCATTCACCTTATGACCTGCGTGGGCTTGATGCTGCTGATAAAGCTAGTGGTATTGGGAATGCTGATGGTAATGCTAAGTGGCGCCAGTAGCAATGGTAGTGCTAATGCTGATAGTCCATGGTACAGGCAGCGGCCATCCACCCTTGACCTGTGGCAATGGCAATGGAACGCCACTCATGATTGGGCTTGATGCCATTCACCCTTGTTGACGTGTGGCTTTGGCAACGGTGATGGGAGCTTGATGCCATGCACCCAGCGAGCTATGGGAGCTTGATGCCCCACAGGTTCTACCTCTTGGGGGAGGTTGGCAAAAAATATCGATACCACACAAAAGCAAAACGTTTTTGTTGGCCGACCCCTCCCAAGATCCGATGGACTACCAGTCACAACAGACAACGACCGCCCACCAACAACCAACAACTAAGCAAAGTAGTGCCTTGCAAACTATTTGCAGCTACAAGGTCTCATCCTCAATATCTGAACACCATGCCATGCAAACTAAAAAACAAAGGTTTCAAGAACACTGAAAAGTCCCGTATAACGTCTTTTTGTGTTATAGAAAGGGCATCTGGGTTCGGAAGCCAAGCTGGTCAGACAGTCAAATGTCGTTGGGAAGATCAGGGGCAGTTGAAGAACGATCAATACGCCTTTTGTTGAAGCAATTTGACGCAAATTTGCTCGTCGCAGCCAAAGGTTTGTCATGGCAATACAACAGCCAAGGACTGCTGATCAAGACTAGGTTTGCAAGTCAGCAGAGGAGAGCAGAAACAGAAGAAGAAGAAGCTGCAGGAGATGAGGCGGCGCTGGAGGAAGAAGCAAAGAGAACAGGAGAAGAAGTTGCAATCGGTTTGCGTGGCACAGGGACAGCATAGAGTACACCGACACCACGCGGCTTCCATTGAGCTCAGGGAAGGAAGGAACAGATGAGATTAGACTAATCAAACAACAACAACAACCACCACAACCACAACAACAACGACACCAGCAGCAGCAGCAGCAAGGAGGCCGGCAGAAGAATAAGGAGGCGAGATTCCAACGAAGAAGAGACCAGCAGCGCAGGGGTGAATTGAAGATGAGTCACCAAGTTCAAAGCGCCTCAGATCGATTCAGGAATTTTCATCCTGGGGGAGATAGTTTGCTGGCAGAGGAAGCCTTGCAATCAGCACTGAGTAATGACAGTATTGAAGAAGACGAAGAAGCTGCAAAGACAGACCCACAGAAGAAGAACTTATGAAGTTGAATGATGACGCCACTATTCATGAAGAAATGAAGAAAGAAGATTTGTGGATACGTGAGTTTTAGAAGCATTGAATCCAGCAGCTGAGGAGGAGCCAGGTCAGTACACCCTCGCAACGAAGATGGTGATCACAGGGAAGAATCGCGAGGAGAAGGGTGGCTGGTTCGGGAGGGCGCGCCTGGTTGCATGCCAGTACCAATGGAGCGTCTTTACTGGCGATGCTTCAGCATCAGTGATTGTCCGACTTCTACCTCGCCTGACGCTCGATGTGAAGGACGTTTTCCTTCCCATGCATCAGCCAAAAGATGAGAAGGCAGTAGCTGTGACACCACATGGAAAATACAAATTGAATAAGAATCCACCGGCCCAATGTTTTGGCGGGTTCTGCGCAGCTGCACAGCAGTATGGGTTGACTACGAACAAGACTTGCAAAGCTGACGCACAGAAGCCACCAAGTGCTCCAACAGATCAAAAGCTTACAAAGCTGATTCAAAGGTTGATGAGCCAATGGAGGGTTCAAAAGTCACAAAGTATAGAAGCGATGTTGGAAAGCTCCTATTCGTTGCTGAGGAACTTGCCTCATTGATGCGAAAGCCACCGAAAGCTGGATGGAGGTACTTGAGGCATGTTGTCAGTTCAAACTTGCTGGGCGCAAAGAATGAAGGCATTTTGCTGGAGTGTGGTCCCAAAGGCCGGAGCATGTTGCACGCATCAAATTAAGAGGTGAACTGTGAATGGCAGGACGATGGCAAGACAAGCTTGTTGGAGGTGATCCGCGACGCTGACTGCAGTGGAAATCTAGGGACGAGAAGATCATCAGGAAATATCTTCCCGCATGGCAACATGACGGAAAGCTACGTCCGGTGTCAGGAACGCATTGCGCTTCGCTATCGTCGGTGGATGCAGCGAAGCTCTTTTCATTCAGCGCTGTTGGGAGTTCATTTCTGGAGAGAAGGCGTTGCTTCAATGCAGGTCAGATAGCTCAGCAGCTCACGCGCCTGCAGCAAGGATTAGATTTGGCCGGAGTCGTCGCATTGCAGCTGGCATGCTGTGGTTGCAGGAGATGACAGCAGAGAAGGCTATTAGAGCGACAGGCGTTCCAACTGCAGTGAACACCAGTGATGCAGGAACGAAGTGTTTGAGCAAAGCCAGGCTGAAGAAATACCTCATGAAGATGATCCATGAAGATGACGAGAAGATTATGGCCAGCGCAATCCAAGCTCCGGAAGAAGTGAGAAAGTTGGGCAAGGCCTTCGAAACGGATGAAGAAGAGGAGATTGTGCAGGATGAGCCCTATGCAGAACAAGAAGAAAGACGATTGAAGCGGCAGATCCGGCAGCTCAACGAAGAGTTGCGGGAGAAAGACGGAAAGACGCCAAAGCATAGTCCAGAGATTGAGAAGTTGAAGAGAGAGGTAAATGAGAGCAGAAGCTGAAGAGTTCAGGATGGACTTGAAAGAAGCCCAAGATGAGATCAAGAAGTTGAAAGACCCCGCAAGAAAGGAAAGTTGATGGAAAGAGATTGCAGACTATGAGCGTGACAGGGCGCTCAAGGCCATGGATTCAGCCGTAGCACGGAGAGACAAAGCAGAGCATATCAAACGACAGGCTGAAGAAGCGATGAAGAAGGCTGAATCCATGAGAGATGGAGTTCAAGAGCATGTGAGAAATTAGTTGAAGAAGGCGCGGCGCAAGGTTGAAGGGTTCGAGTTGATGATTTCGCAGGGCGGCGAATGCTACAACGAGAGTAGCTGCAGCTACACTGTACAGCGAAGGGTTGTGAAACCATTGGGGCATCCCAGAGACTGTGCGGGGCGTGTTAGATGCAAAGGAACGATTCAGTTGAGCATGCATGCATACAGCCTGTGGCATGCCATTTCATTTAACTGCGCGCGCCAAGGCCCTAATTTGAGGGGGAACTTCCGGGGCGCACTCGTTTTCACATCTTGTAATGGGATGTGTTGCACTTGCATGTTTCACTGTAGATTCTTGAGCCCCCCTCCTATCGATTGTAGCGCAAAGCGGGTGCCTCCATTGTTGAACTGTTGCCCTGGAGGCCAGGCATTTTGTAGCAAATTAGCACCAGACATTTAAAGGTTCAGTCATTTTTCATTCTGTCGAAAAACACGTGCTAGATAGCTATCAAGAAATCCTCTATATAATGCACGAAACGGGCAACCCTAAATTTGAACGATGAGTCTTTATAATCTTCTGGGGACAGACACTGCCGACGCCGCTGGGGTGAACGGGCTTGCCACGGAGGATTTGGTGTTGTTGAGCTTCGATGGCTTAGAACACCGAACGCTGAACCACACCATTTTCGTGCAAGAGTTGCTGACGGTCTTCAAGGGATTGGGCCTGGCAGAGAGGCGGGCGGTGAATGGCAAAGGAACCCGTGGATGTGACTGTTGTTCAACCTTGCAAACCATGGTTCAGTGAGTGATGTTGTTTTCCGCATTTCATTTTGGGGTGACGAGTGGCACCTCCTACACTGTATGACCTGCAGTATGGTATGTGTTGGGGTGTGTGCTAAGGCCTTCATTCACCTGCGTCCACTGATTTTCTACGGCCGTAGTTGCTGTTCACATGAACCGGGGATTTTGACAGTCACATCAGACTTTTGGGACGAGTACGGGGGTGTCATGAACCAACACCACACACCTAGGAAGGACAGTATTTGCTCCCAAGACTTGATTTTACCACTTTTCACTATTCCAGAATCAGATGCCAGTGGCCAGTAACTATATAGCTATCATCATTCGCAATTTTCGGGGCGATATACCTGGCAGAATCATTCCAATCAATCAAACAAATATAAACCAATAAAGGATATATACCCTCTACATCCCTCTACAGTACATGTTTGTTTTCCCTTTCTAGCCTTTGGCACGACAATCGTGACCTCCCTCCAATATGTCCTCGAAATCGTGGCCCCCGTGCCGATTCAACTTTGTTTTCCGCCGTGAACGCGCCTCGATGCTGTTTCCAGCTGGAGGCATGCCAACAGCTTGCAGATTCAGATCACTGGTCCCTCAGTCCTCGCAGAGATCCTGGGGCCTTCTTCGGCACGAGCGCCAGTGGAACAGCTCCCAATCCACTTGGTGGAGGTCATGGGATGCTGTGCACGCAAAGTGCCATCGGCGACACCGAGGCGGAAACCTCAAAACATCTATCGTTGTTTCAAAACATGAAATCATCATCTCATGGGAAGAGGTGTCGTCTTCGTTCATCGATGAGGCTTGACCCTGTCGACCCTGCGAAGAGCCCCTCCGGTGGCACGCCAGTCGCTGGACGACACAAAAGTTTGCCCACGTTTCTGTCGATCATTGGAGGTGCAACATGTTTGTTTAGCCGGGGTGAGCAGCCCCCGGCCCGAACAGATGTTTTTTTTGCTTGGTGTGTGGGATTCCCGGTTCACCGGCACAGGCATGTTGGGCAACCAAACTCAGGACACATTATGACACATTACGACGCATACATTTGCTTCGCTTTTCTTCCTGTAGCCACGAGACCTGGAAGTCTGGAACCGATTTTGAATCAGGTGACCTCCCGGAGCATGGGCCGCTTGTCGGCGACCCAGAGCGAGATCTACCGAGAGATCTTCAACGACGCCGCGGTCAGTTTGGTCACGGACATTTTTGCGGAGTCCGTCACGCAAGCCGACGAGGAAACCAAAAGGAAGGCCTGTTGTGGATGTGAGGAGATTCACGGTGAGTTGGGATGTGTTGGGAAGGTTGGCGTAAACAAAGACGCAAAAACATTCCAAAAACAACAAGGCGAAACAACAGATCCACATGGAGATCACTTTAAGTCTCTCCATCTCTCACTGGTGTATTTTCACATGAACCAAGTAGAGTGACCGGACAATCCCAGGATCCTGTCATCACCCCACGGGTCATTTGTGACACGAATGAGCTCCTTTCGAGGCCAACCACGTGGCGGTGCAACGTGTCACAGCCGATGTGATAGATCAACTCTTGGGACCTCATGCGGTGCCCGGCCTCAGTGATATTCATCTTGTCATAGAGTTCGTTGCATTTGCTGTTCTTTTGAGAAGAGTTTTGCAATATGCGGATGCGTTTATAATGTTAATAGATTTCCCAACAAAAAGTAAGAATTAGTGCTATCCTATCCTATACTATCCTATCCTTCTTGTTCTTTGGTCCAGCTGTTCACCAGTGTGGCCTGAAACCCAATCTTTGGATCCCAAAAATGTGATTTGGTTGATGTTTCCGCTGGCCTAGCAACCGCTGTGGGCGAGCCCCTGACCTGCAAGAACGGATGCAGGCAGCTCCCAAAACACCCATGTTTGATCACACAGGTCCCACAGGAGGCATTTCAAGGGCATTTCTCCACAAATGTATTGACAGTTATGATGTTGACTCTGCTAAGCCGTTGCGCGCGCGCGTTGTTTTGCTAAGGGGTACCTACCGCGCCTTTGGAAACAGATTTGCCCAACAGACCCGGGAAAAACGGTGAAGACAAACATGTTTCGCTTTGCTGTGCGTGTGGTAAACAAATAGGCGACAAACCCGGGAAAAGTCGGAACTGAATTTGTTGTTTTTGTTTTTGCCGCGCCTTTGGTACAAACATTTGGCCAAGAGGGTTGAAAACAAAAACATGATTGTTTTGAATGCTTATCGTTTTGACCGCACCTTGCGGTAACATTCACAATTTAGTTTGGGGATTCAGCCACTGCGGTAAAATAATGGACCGTGTTCGATGTTCAACCGCTTTTTACCCTTGGAGATAAAGTCAAATGTTGATTCAAAAGAGCGATTGTTCGATCGATAAAATAACATCGACTTGTTTCGTTTTTTTGTTCGCCCGGGATGTTGGTCGATCGTTTTGCTTTCCAAACTGCGCTTCTCGAAAACTACGAAGACCAGGCAAAACAAAAGCACTTTAATTCAATAGATATGATATGACTAATAACAAGTGCATCGTACTTGTAACAAGACTAAAGAAACATACTAGTAGCGATGCACTTAATACTAGTAGCTTATTTACGGTTTTGATTCTGGGTTTCGACAACAAACCCAACACTGGATTTTTACTCGCGACAAGAATAGAACCTTTTTACAAACATGCGGTAAACATTTCAAGCTGTGAAACATCATGAAACTCAGGTAAGCTGGTGATTATTTCTTTAGATTTCTAGGAGGTAAATCTCAACAGGAATCACATAGGCCAGAACGTAAGCATAATTACACAAAAAGCGACTGGCACAGGTCGTTTGGCCCAAGAAAAAATATCAAACAAGTAGCCAGTTGACTCAAGGTGTATTCCGATGTTGCAACTCCTGTCAATAATTGGTATTGTCGATCAAAAGCTGCACATGGCCAGGATCAAAGTTCTTCATCACAAAATCATCCTGCAGGAGACCCTTGTCACAGAAGTCGTTTAAGATAAAAACTGTTGTGTAACCCGTCCGAGCCTCACCCTCACCCGGAGGGAATTCCGCAAGCTTCCAAGTTGCAAAAGAAAAACCAATGTCCATGGCGCCCAATTCAAGCAAAACTGCTTGGCACGGTAGTGGCGATCATGCCCCCATCTCTTCCCCGTAGACGGGCAAAAACGATGTTTGCTGCAGGTACTCTAGAACAGTCCACATGATCAAAGCCCTAGAGCTCCGCATCAGTGACCAAAGTCGAAGAAGTTGCCTGTCCTCAACGGGTTGCCGTATGATTCTCCCATTAATTTGGTTTTCCATCTTTGCATCATTTCCTCTCGTAAAGACAATGTTGGCAAGCCGTGCCAGAATCCAAAGATCCCTTGGCTTGATAATCTCAGAGGCCGCATGCCAGTTTGATACTAGCCACCTTGAACTATAGCATCGTGATAAGCCCCTCTGCTTTGCGTGCCTTGGCTCAGTTCGCGGCCCGGCGTGGATACCGGCCCGTCAGGCACACTGTGGGCTCTGTGGCCCTGAAGGTCTCGCCTAGGCCCACATCCTCCGATAACTCGCCAAAAGCTGATGAAAACAATGAGGCCCACAAAGAAGCTCTGCCGCAATCAAAGGCACCAACTTCAATGAGAGTTGATGTACAGTCCACAGTCCAAGCACATACCAGAAACATTTCCTCGAAGCAGCTATCGTGATGCACCTGCATGGACATCACAGTCAAGGACATCGAAGAAAGATGTGTTCATTGTTTATGCATTATCGAGCAATATCCGTGTTTATTGTTTAAGCCTTAAGCACTATCGAGCAATGAGCTGCATTAAGAAACATTGAAAATCTGAACATCCCGCTGCATATCCAAGTCATTTCAAGCCTACCAGAATCACCAGAATTTCAACTGCAGCAGTTGATTCCTTCTGACTCCTGGGCCTCATCACAGTCGATTCCTCATCAATGATTGCCCTTCTCGGGCCAATCATTGTTGTGCCACTGATCGCCATGCCACTGACCATTGTCGTTCCATCAATGATTGTCCTTGCAATCATTTTGACTCTTCCAATCCGATGAGCTTCATGCATTCCAAACATACCTCAGCACCTGACCTATTAATTAGTCAGGAACCTCCCGTGGAGCAGCAATCATGCTCAAAAAAATCAATTGCTTGTCAAACGGCATCGAGTTGACCCAAATGGGTGCAAGCTACTATATAGCCACCCTACCTACCTTCAAAGCCTAATCACAACCATATTCACCCATGTTCAACCCAGCGGAAATCAACAGCAGTGATCAACGTTGGAACTCAAGTGTTCATTGACAACGACGAACAAAGTTTTGTTTGAGGAAAAACATGTTTATGTCCAATGGTTTCTTTAGCTTGCTCTTTGCGCAACACTGAACGGTTTGGATGTCCAGATTAATCGTCCAGGCTTACATTTCACAAATTCACAATCATTTGAGGCGATTCTTCAACGCTATATAGAGTGTGACTCTTCAACCTTATTGATTAATATTGATTATTGATTATTGTATTTGGACAATTTCAATTTTCTCGTTGAGCAATTCATCCACATACTGTGTGGTGCTTTAAGATGTTTGAAACATGTTGCGATTATCCAATCTGACCGCTCCTCAATGCAAAGAATTCACCTCAATGTCTTTGTAGTCAGTTGCCAGCGAAAACAAGATTCACCTGACAATCTCTAACTTGTAACGAAGGGCTTGCTCGAAGGTCTCGAAGGCTTTGCACTCCCTTTCGTCCTTCATCCATTGGCCAAGTCACAACTTACAACTATCGAACAGCCAATTTGTCAAATTGTTGGTCGAATATCGACAATGTCTTCTCGGCGATCCAACTCGATGTGTTTCAATGTCATTTGCAACTTCTTGCCACACCCGACCATCTCATGAATGGTGTCGATCTTCATTCTTTTGTTGATGCAGCTGAGAGAAGCATACTGCCAATGCAAAATATCTGGTGGATTCCGGCACAGCCGCTGCCAAAACCAAAGCTGACCCGATGCCAGACAGTCTGTCAGTCGAATGCGAACTTGCCGTCAGACTCCAATTGCATAATCATCACCATCAGTTTCCTGCCGATCATGTTGGTAGTTCATGGTTGACTGTTTTGAGATTCGGAATCCTTATAGCCAACAGCTCCCAATTTCCATTTTACATCAACTTGCATAATTGCCTTGTCGCATGTCTCTCTTCTTTCAAAAATGACCTGTTTGGACATGTCACCTATTTTCCCAACCCAATTGAACAATTTGAACGCATCATATTTCTTTTAAGTCGGGCGCACCAATGTAGCAACGAGGTTGTAAAACATAGTACTTATGTTTTGACAAGTAGGTGGCTTAGTCATCCAAAGAGGCAGCAGGGAGGTCACATGAACTCATGATTAACCGATCCAAAGTGGTCAGGCGGGTTTGTTGCCATCTCAACAGGTAGGCGGCTCAGAGATTTCGGATCACATGGAGTGGCAAGAGCAGCTGGAGGACTGGGAGTTGGTAGATGGTTGCTTCGTTGGTAGAGAGATGGAACATGTGATCCAACAACAAGGTGCATAGCGTTAGAGCCCAGATCTGGCCATTCTGCCATGGGCATTTATTGGCGCTTGTGCGGCGCCACGTGCTTGGAAACATGCAAAACAATATACATATATATATAGATACATACAACTATTGCATATATATATATATATATCTATACTGATTATGTTCCTCTAGGGGCACGAGCTGTGCAGTGAACGATCTTGCCATGGAGGATTTGGTGTTGTTAAGCTTTGATAGCTTAGACCACCAAACGTTGGACCACTCCATTTTCGTGCAAGAGTTGCTGACGGTCTTCCGGGGATTGGGCCTGGCAGAGAGGCGGGCGGTGTTAGTTAGTTAGTTGAAGGAACCGTTGGATGTGATGGTTGGATGCGAAGATTTCTCAAGCCATGGTTCAGTAAAAGAGGGATGTTGTGTTCCGCGCACCTCCCACTGTATGAGACGCATTGGGGACCACTGGGAGGGCAAGACTTTCACTCACCTGCATCCACTGCTTGCAACCCTGGTGGCTGTGTGCTCTCATGAGAGAGGGTATTGATAGGTCAGAAACCAACACACCACACCTAGGAACGACAGTATTCAGTATTTGCTCCCAAGACTTGACTTTACCACTATAAATATTTCAGAATCAGATGCCAGTGGCCAGTAACTATATAGCTATCATCATTCGCAATTTTCGGGGCGATATACCTGGCAGAATCATTCCAATCAATCAAACAAATATAAACCAATAAAGGATATATACCCTCTACATCCCTCTACAGTACATGTTTGTTTTCCCTTTCTAGCCTTTGGCACGACAATCGTGACCTCCCTCCAATATGTCCTCGAAATCGTGGCCCCCGTGCCGATTCAACTTTGTTTTCCGCCGTGAACGCGCCTCGATGCTCTTTCCAGCTGGAGGCATGCCAACAGCTTGCAGATTCAGATCACTGGTCCCTCAGTCCTCGCAGAGATCCTGGGGCCTTCTTCGGCACGAGCGCCAGTGGAACAGCTCCCAATCCACTTGGTGGAGGTCATGGGATGCTATGCACAGAAAGTGCCATCGGCGCCACCCAGGTGGAAACCTGAAAAGATTTAGAGTCTGCAGATTTGCCGTCAATCACATAATGTTATAATCTGAAATGATGTATAGTGGTTCCAAAATGGACAGAAACGGTTTCCAATACATTTTTAGTGGGGATCCACCTTTCTATCTATTTGGGACCACTATATATATATACACACACTGTATATATATATAACATTGCACGTATGGTTTACATACGCATTTGAGTTAAGACTGTTGTTTGACCACTGCGCAAGGTGACGGCTTTTCGCATCCCTGTTTGACCACGCACCGCGCTTCGCTCGAATTGAGGAGGAAGCAGCGGCCCATCAGCTCCTCAGAGGTGAGCATGGTCTCAGCTCACTCAGGCATGGAAGGGCCAGCTGCACAGCTCTTTCAGCAGCTCGTGGAGGGGCCAAGCTGGAGGGGTCAGTTGATGACTCCTCATTCCGGTGGAGCCTCAGTTTTAAGATGGGGATGGGAAGTTAGTTATCAAGAAGATGAGGCTCAATATATCTCAATATTATCATCATGTTGGACTACTTCATGTTCAATATTTGGATGATGATGATGATGATGATGATGTGTTCTTCTTGCCTGCAAGTAAAATATTAAGGGCTGCCGCCCCTGCCGCCGACCCCGGGATATACACCAACAACAGCAATCGCAGCAGCAGCACTAAGAAGAAGACCCAGAAGCATCACAAGATCAGAAAAACCACTAGCAACAGGCAGCAAGAAGCATAGTAGCAATGCCTCTGTTCTGGCTGTGCTAATAGACTGGCGGCTGTTTGCGGGGGCCTTGTTGGACAGCCCAGGTGCTGAGCCAGCAAGGCTTGTGCTGCGCCAGCCCTGGTGCTGACCGTAGCACTTCCTGTGGACGGCCGCAGGTCTATCTGCGTGGCTGGAGAATGGCAAGCAGAAGAAGAAGAAGCAGAAAAAGAAGAAGAAGAAGAAGAAGAAAAAGAAGAAAACGAAGTAGCAATGCCTCTGTTCTGGCTGTGCTAATAGACTGGCAGCTGTTTGCGGGGGCCTTGTTGGACAGCCCAGGTGCTGAGCCAGCAAGGCTTGTGCTGCGGCAGCCCTGGTGCTGACCGTAGCACTTCCTGTGGACGGCCGCAGGTCTATCTGCGTGGCTGGAGAATGGCAAGCAGAAGAAGAAGAAGCAGAAGAAGAAGAAGAAGAAAACGAAGAATAAGAAGAAGAAGAAGAAGAAGAACAAGAAGAAGAAGAAGAAGAAGAACAAACAGAAGATCAGTCACAAGAGAAGTACAACACCAACAGCGAAGAGGAAAATGCACAAAAAAACATCACAGTCACATTCAAAAACACACCCAGGATCACCAGAACAAGCATATCCAGAGCAGATTGAGCAGCAGCGTAGCAGATAGTAGAGATTCCAGGTCCAAGCGCCCCGTCCGAGCGGACCGCTCTGCCGGTTTCGTGCTCGGTGCGGATGGCGGCGTTCAGCTTCCGGTGAAACCGGAGCGGCGAAGTGACAAATCGACAGGGTGTTCTCAAGAAACTTTCGATCATAGATGGCCTTGTACTAGTTGGTTGAGATCAATGATGGCCTAGTAATGTTCCATCTTCAATTAGTAAACCGGATGCCCCTCCCTTCCTAGCAAACAATCGAGGGAGAGTGAACGGAGTCAACCCCACCAAAACTAGCTGTGATTGAGTTTGAGTTTGAGTAGTAGCAGTGGTAGTGGTAGTAGCAGTAGTAGTAACAGCAGTAGCAGTAGCAGTAACAGCAGCAGCATCAGCAAACCTCAGAAGAGGTGAAGCAAGGATCTGGAAAGGGGAGCAGTAGCAGAAGCAGTGGAATAGAAAAGGAAGTTCAAACATTCTTCCCAGGGCTCCAAGTTGGCACATGAATCCCACCTCCCAAGCAATGTCATACAATTCACATCCCCTGTGCTTGTGTACTATCCATTGGAAGAATTGAATGGTGCAATGATTTCAAAGAGTTTCAATCATTGAGAAAGGTTTTTGAGAAAGGTTTTCCGATCAGAGTTCCAGGAAACAAAGCCTCAGAAAAGGTCAAGTCAAGCTTAAAGGGCAGCAATAGCAGAACAGTAGAGAACTAAGCTTAGATAATTTGCCAGGGCTCCAAGTTGGCGCATTAATCCTACCCTCCAAACAATTCACACAATTCACTTATCCCGGGCTTGTTAACTACCTCCTTGAAATTTTTTGGAGCAATGATTTCCATGAGTTTTAGGGCTTGTGAGAAGGTTTTCCGGTCAGAGTTCCAGGAAACAAGCAAACCTCAGAAGAGGTTAAGCAAGGATCTTAAACGGCAGCCATAGCTGAACAATGGTCAACTAAATCAATTCAGAAAGCAGACCTCAAAAAAATCACAGCGGACACAAAAAAACATAGTATTCCCTACCACTAAGCTATTCAGAGTGTGGGAGTCATGTTGCGAACACTTTTTGTTATGTATCCCATCTCATTTGAATTCAACATTCGTGGGGATTCCGGGATCAAAACAAATGGGATATATAATAGTTGTGGGTCCGAATGGGACTTTGTATCCTGTCCAAAGACCCCCTCCCAAGACGCCCGACGCTCTCGACACTTCGTACCCTCAACACCATGCTCGCACCCTCCCTCCAAGGCTCCCGGCAATCTCCCTCGCCACGGCTTTCCACCATCTAATTCAAAACCAAAACGAGCCTCCCCTGATCGCACTTTCGGTGCCAAACGCCCCCTCTGAATCCCTATAAAAAAAAACTTTTCTTTCCTTTCTTGCACCCATCCTGGCTCCGAACACCTGGCGCCGCTAGACGTGGCCCCAGGTCCCGTTTTCACAGCCCACCGCGGCTTAGCTGTTATCTCAGCAGCGGCCACAGGACCGCCAACCATGGCATGCCGCAGGCTCCCACTCTCTTGCCGCCCTACATACACAACTCCAGAGACCCCCTCCCAAGACGCCCGACGCTCCCGACACTTCGTACCCTCAACACCATACTTGCACCCTCCCTCCAAGGCTCCCGGCAATCTCCCTCGCCACGCCATTCCACCATCTAATTCAAGACCAAAACGAGCCTCCCCTGATCGCACTTTCGGTGCCAAACGCCCCCTCTGAATCCCTATAAAAAA